CGGGGAGGCATTTATGGGAAGTCTTAGAGGGAAGAAAGGGAAGGGAGAAATGCGATTATGTCTTAAAATAAATGCATAAATAAACAAAAATCTGACTTGTGAAGAAAACAAAGAAACAATACTGAAGATGCAAAACACAGAAGTGATAGGATGAAATATTCAGAGGTAGAAAGTCTGAGGTAGGAAGAGGTCTCTCAAGAAGAACCAAGGGGGGCAACAGTAGAGTAGCTATGTCACAAAATGAACCTGTGTCTGGAAAATGGAGATCCAGTAAACCTAAATGCCAGACTGAGAAGGTTAAAAATCTACATGGATCAAGTAAATCCCTTTGGGAGGTGTCTATGTCTCTTTCTTTCCAAGCTACCTATTAAAATATAAAGGTTCCTGAGAGTCAGTTTCTTGATTGCTTGCTGGGAACATGACAGGCACTTAACACTCTATTAAAAACACATTACTCATTTTTCCACCCCTACTTTTTTCCCTACTCATAATTTATAGTATTGCCGAATTTTGAACTTGAGAAAAACACAGGTGAGGCTAGTGTTTTCAAGTGGGTGTAGCAAGTGGTTGAATAAAAAAACCAGATTGAAGCCATTTGCAATAATAGGGTAAAAAGAGGCCTTAGTTTTCAATTAAACTGCTCCCACCTGAAGGTGTGAAAGGTTTCAATTTTTCAAACAGAAGCCTGTCTGTTGCAGTCGGAACCCTACAAATTCTGTCTTACATTAACAGAATTCAAGGCTTGATTACACTGCCTTGAGAACCCTAGTTCTTTGAGAATGGAAACAATTAAGATTTTGCTTATACATGAGATCAAAACAGCTGAGGTGCAAAATGGCAGGGTTGGTTTCAAAAATTTTACAGAAATACTCTTTTGCAGAAAAGAAAGTCTTTGAAATGAGGTGAACCTATGGTGATACTGCTAGGCTTAATGTTCTTGATAAGAAAGTTAGAGTCAATGAATTTATTGCATTTCCAAAAATTATACAACGGTGTTGAGCAAAGGTTCCTAGGTAATATGGGTATGTATGTATCTGTATCTAACTACGTAGACTCCGTGAGCACCTGGGTAAGACTTAAATCCTCTTTATCTGATTTTAATGAACTATAACTTCAGCAGGAGAATTGATTTGACTACCGCGAGAACCTAGTGGTTGATGCGTAGTGGAAAAGCTATTTATAATGTTTTTATTGCTATTCCTAGGTTTTTAAAAATTCTAATTCCAGTATAAAAACCTGTGAATCTTAAAGATCTGTGCACATGGTGATTTTATAGGTGGGAGTGCCTAGAGAAGCTAATTCTCTACCCCATAGTCACACAGTAGGTCCCAGGATTAGGGCTGTGCTGACATTTAACAGCTCTTGTTCCAATCCAGCAACCAAGGAGCACATAGTGATTGACAGAACCAGAGATTTACAAGTGATGGTTAAAATTTGAGGGGACTTATCCTTCTTTCTTTAAAATACAACTCAGTTCACATGGTCATTCTTTACCTCAATCTGCAGACTAGTTTACAAATCCGTACTTCTCTATGCCGAGTGTTTCAACCCAGTCCCAGGTCATGGGGAATCAGAGACATTTGAAACTTCTGGAGTGAGCACTTTCTCTGTAGTCGAACTAGGCAAGTTTCTACCCTCTGTAAATTGCTTTGACAGTGCCATTGTACCCACTCTACCATCACACTGGCTAGGCACGGACATGCCTATGAAATCATAAGCAGATCAGTTTTCATCACTAGACAGCTCTGTGTGGAACATATGGACATGCCTATGAAATCATAAGCAGATCAGTTTTCATCACTAGACAGCTCTGTGTGGAACATGCCTTGGCAGCCACAGAGAATCACTACGGAAAATGGGCACAACAACCCTGAAATGCATTCATAAGGAACTCAAAGGTGTTACCATTATTTCAGAAAAACATAATTCCTATGTTTAGAGCAGCAATAAAATGTAAATTGTGAAGTCGGAGAGAAGCATTTGGCTTCCAACATTGGCAACAATGATTTGTGTGATTTGGGGCAATACACTTTTTTTTTTCTGTAAGTCAGAAAGACAATTAGTAAGGAGCAAAAGACACTTCTGTTTGAATGTGAGTGCAAGGCTTTGTGAGTCCTGGGCATAAGACACACCCACACAGAGAAGCAGTATGGCTTCTACCTATTCTCTGGGAACACATCCCAGGGTCCGTCTGCATGACGACATCCCTTTCTCCTTCCAAGAAACTTAATCACCAAAACCTCGGAATTACTTTAAAACATAAAAAGGCTTCAGATTTTTTGCTCAAATGATGACTATAATAGTATTTTATTTTAGTACAAAGTCTAGAAGTCTCATTCAACTAGAACTTTCTTTCACATACTGATGCTGTTGTCAGGCTGCAACCACATTCAGATACAGTTGAAATAAGGCTAAGTAAAGTCATATGTGGAGAGAACTGATTCACTAGTACTTATGGAATTTTAGGAGGAGACCTCAGGAGGCTCTTTCCCACCATGGGATGGCACAACAAAGAACAGATTTAGCCAGCAGGAAGGACAGCCCTCACTAGGACGCAGCTGTTCTGGACCTTCACATGGGGCTATTTATCTCAACTCTAAGGTACACACATTTTTGTTGTTTAATTTACTTGGCATTTAATACTGGAAGCCCAAGATAACTGAGATAGTAGAATTATAATAATCTCCATATTTCCAACCTTGTAGACTCAGAGTTGTGGGGAACATTTTAACAAGATTATCCCAGATGGACATCATTGGCTTTGTTCCTAATACTGATGTGAAAAAAAAAATAAACAATCACAATCCATGGTAGAAAGATGCTAGCGCAATCAAACTTTAGATGCTGTAACTTTCCAGACTGATACGTTTATAGATCCTGCATATAAACATGAAGAAAGCACATACTGAATGGATTTGGATTTGGCTTTAAAATCAGAACTTCTGGAACAAGGCTTTTGTGGGTTTGTTTCTACAGGCAAATTCTTGAGCGTCTCTAAGCTTCAGATTATTTAGTGCTCAGCTGGAGATAATAATAGTATCAGTCTCAGTTGTGTTATGAGTTAAATGAATCAATCATCCATTCTTAAAATTGTACTTGGCAGAAAGTGCTTCATTGCGTCCAATTAAGCATTATAGAAATTCACGGAGGTGCACTGCCGCTCTTGTCTATCCTCCGCACACCTTTTGGAGGGTTTGTGATACTACCTCTCATGAAACCAAACTCACTAAGACCTCAGAGTTGCTTTCAAACATATCAGCCACTTGCTCAGGAAAATTCCAGGAAATAACTAGGAAACGAAATGAGAGAGAACTACAGAAGAAAGTACAAAGCAGATCGAAATTAGAGTGAAGAAAACACCAGACGCAATCAACTGATATGCAAGTGTTGAATTCTGGGTTGTTTATAATTTTCATGCTACTCTCACTACTACTTAAATACTTGCAAGAAAGCAATAAGAAATTTCTCTGCTCCCAGCTCATTCTAGCTCTTGTAGACCAGGCTGGCCTCGAACTCACAGATACCCACCTACTTCTGCCTCCTGGATGCTAGGATTAAAGGCCACTGCCCAGCCCCCATCTCATTCTTGAGTTTTCTCTTCCTTCCTTCCTTCCTTCCTTCCTTCCTTCCTTCCTTCCTTCCTTCCTTCCTTCCTTCCTTCCTTCCTTCCTTCCTTCCTTCCTTTTCCTCCTCCTCCCTCCCCCTCCCCCTTTCTTTCTTTCTTTCTTTGTGTGTCTTCTCCATGGCAGGTGTTAGGTTCCCAGAACAAGTAATCGTAACAAGAAACTGCCAAGGTACTTTGTACTTTTAACAACCATCAAGGCTCTTCTTACATTTTCTCTTACAATTCTATTTCCTGCTTCTCTATTTAGAATTCATATTGCCAGGGTAAATTAACTCCAAATTTTCTCAAGTGGGTTTCTTTTTATTAATCCTTGGATAATTCCATAGTACTCCAGAAAAACAAAACAAAAGAAACCAAATGTATCATCCTTAGGCAAAAAACACTATTCAGGTTGGGCATCATCTACCATCAGCAAGGGCAACACACCGATGATCAGTATTTGTCAGAAACAACTGCCATCAGGAAGAGCATTTTCATTTAATCTCACATCTTGTTGCTTGGGAGCCTCAAAGTGAGCTGGCTATGCTGATTATCCATTCATATGTGCATTGAAAGACAAACTACTGTTGGCTGAGAAAGCACAAATATATACAACAGATACACAAATAGTTTCCGGGACTCCAAAACTATCCCTGAAAGAATATATACCCCCTCCCCCCAGGAAACTCATCAAATCTCCTTTTCTTAGAATTCTATTAAATGTCTTTGGTGTAAAGATAATGGAATACTAATTTATCAGTCTACAAATTATGTAAATAGGGAATTCTATTTTTACTTTTGAGTTGAAGGATAATTTGTATTTATTTCCATTTTTTTCTTCATTGTGTGAAACCAGGAATGATTTCAGATCAGTTTTTAGACACGAGGGAGAAGGAGAAGAAAAGAACTCCGGCTTCCAATGCACAGCAATAATGCCCTAAAAAGTTAACTCAACTTTGTTTTTATTTATTAAAGAAATTTCCTTGCAGAGCAGAAGCACACATGATTTATGGAGCACAGCAGAACTTTAATCCGCAGCTCAGGAAAGGGTGCGAGAGCAGCTTGAAAATTATGCTGAGCTTAATTATACTTAATGTGAATTATTCAGAAGTGCAGACAGAGACTAAAAATTTATTTCATACAAAGAAGCTTGACATTTTAATTGGTCCTTCAGAATAGAGACAAAACAATTTCCTCTCGAGAAAATTTACATCTTCCCTATCAGACCCACAGCCCTAGCCAAGCAGAACTTCATTAACAAGATCAATCATGCCAGTGTCTGCTCCTCCATCAGGTGGATGGCCCAGGTGAAAGCAGGAATACAAAGCAATGACTGACACTTTCACTAGATACAACTGATTAGAGACACAAACAGCGATAGACTGTTGCACTGTACCTTGGTCATTAGCCATTTTGTCAGGGTGTTCCACTGTGGAGAGAAAAATAAATTATGTTATTATAGTGTAGCATTTCTTAGGAGAAAGTTGTCTTATCAAGTCCATAATGTTATCATTTCTTTTGGATAATCAGTCAGAGGTAGCAAAACCTGAAAATAATGGTTTTTTTTTTTCTAAAGAAATACCTTCTAAAATCTAGTTGTCATGTTTTTCTAAACAGAAACTCATTGGGTAATTTTAATTAAGTTGGAATTGATAGTAAAATGTGTAGAAAGAGCTTCCAAATCATATTTACTTTATTTGAAGTATGCTATAGGATTTATTTATATTTTATACAGTTTTTTTTTTTTTAAAGCAAGTCCAAGCCTTAGATGATTCCTAATGGACTGGGAAAACTGGTGGGACATACTCAGTGGGCTACCTGCTGGCGGGATAACCTTGACGACTTGATCTCACACCTGGTAAAGTGACTCTTGGTTTGTTCACAACTGCAAGAGTTATGATGAATAAAGGTCACAAATTTCTTTGAAAATGTAAGCTACCTCGAAACATCTTAAAATCTGGCCTCTGTTCCTTAAACTAGTGAAATTAAATACTGAATCAATACAACCACGGTTCTAAAAGCAGTCTTAAGAATGTCTTGTTTTTAATCCTGTATATAATTTCCACTTAGTTTTTAATCTGCAAACTATTATTGCCCTACGAAATGTTGTTCTAATATATCTGTTTCTGAATATAGGAGTCTTACAGAGCACCAGGAAGCAATAGAGGCTGAGGACTGACAAGTACTGTGGGCAGACATGTTTCTTACAACATCCCATTTATTTCAAAATTATCGACATGTAGCTTAATGGATATATACATTCTTATAAAGTAAATTTGGATTATATACGAGTATACATTACAATTTAAAGACTACTTTAAAAGATACTTATCCGTACTTTACATATTTTGAATGTTTTGTTAGATTTGTACATTGCATTTTGCGGAGACTCTTGATGTAGTGATAATGTGGCTATCAATTTAAGTTCCACCTTTTAATTACTTATAGGAAAGAGACTGAATTTTCTAAGTGTGTGTGTATATGTGCTAATGTGTACATTGTTTCATGTGTAAGCAGAGGCGTGTGCATTGTTCAGAAGCCAGTGGTCAGTCTTGAATGTTGAAATTCAGATGCTGGCTAATTTATTTATTGATGCAGGGTCTGTCATTGATCTGGCACTCACCAATAAAGTAAGGCTGGTTGACCAGTGAACCTGAAGGATCCATGTGTCTCTGCCTTTTCAGTTTGGGGATTACAACCATGTGTTACCATCCTGGCGGTTTTACATGGGTACTGGGATTTAAACTCAGGTTCTTCTGCATATTAGGCCAATATTTTGTTTTCTGAGATCTCCCTTCTTCCCAGAGATTGACTCATCAGTACCATTATTTTAATATAATCCTATGGCATTTCAATTTGCTCCATAAGCAAAACATTTTTGTTACTTTTGATTTATTTCCTATGTAGATGATTATGTTCTTAAAGAATGGAATTTTTTCTTCTTAATCTGAATAAATTTTTGGTATTGTTATTTTAAGGCAGGATCAAAAAATATAATGTGAAAAAGCAGAGAAGAGAGGAGACATCTTTGTCTTGACCCAGTTTTAGTGGGAAAACTTTGTGTTTTTCATCATTATACATGAGGTTAACCGTGGAGGTTTTGTCAAATTATGAACTTTCCAGCTTATTGAGATTTTCATTCTTGAATGACTGGTGTATATCTTGCATGACTTCTCTTTGTTTTTGATATGATAGTGTACAATTTTTTTCTTTTAGCTTGTAGATAGGAAATGCATAGCTGGGGTAAATCATTCTTTTTTGATTTGCTAATATTTTGTTGGCAACTGTTGCATTTACGATCATCAGAGTTATCAGCATGCAATTTCCTCCTAAGGTGTTTGTTTGGGTTTGTTATTAAGACAGTTGACAAATAACATAAGGATGTATTGATTCTGTATTTACTCTTAAATGAGAGTATAGTAATTGGCAGAATTTCTGCCTTTAGTATTTGGTAGGATTTATCAGTCAGCCTACGAGGATTTGGTGATTCCTGTTTTAGAAGATCACTATTTATTGATTCTATTTTAGAGATAAATAGGGGGAAATTCAAGTTGTCTTTTTCCTTGTGTGGTTTTGCACCTCTATCTTTGAAGGGGTTGTCCCATATCATCTAGTGAGTTAATATTGAGAACATGGAGTTGGTTATAGTGTTTCTGTATTATGCCTTTAATGAGTATGGATCTGTAGAGACAACTCCTTTTCAGGGCTTATGTTAGAGATTTAACTTTTCACTTACATTTTTTTTTCAGTTAGCTTGCCTAGAACCTAGTGGCTTACTACTCTTATTGAACTTTGCAAACAAACAACTTTGATTTAGTTGATTTCTCTGCCAATTTTCCATTTTAAATTTCATTTGTATTATATGTTCTTATAATTCTTATTATTTATATTCTTTTTAATCCAGATTCAAATTACTCTCATTCCTCTGATTTTCTGAGGTGTTGACTTAAGATACTGAGTTAGATCTTTTAGCTTTTCTAGTATGTGTTTTAATGCTACACATTTTCACTTAAGGGTTGCTTTTACCAGCATCCTATAATTTTAAATAAATTATGTTTGGTGAAATTCTCAGTCATTCGTGTTTCAGAGATATTACATCTGTTTGTTTATATTGTAAATTTTGTACACATTCCTGATTTTAGTTATTTACAAATTCTTGTGAATTTTGTTCATTTTCTTTCTTTGTTTGCTTTACTTTAAGGGACTCAGGTGCCTGTTGAGATGTATGTATAAACACAGTCTTCCCTGAGCTGCGTCCAGACTGCTAAAACGCCAATGAAACAAATTCGTCATTCTGTTACAGTGCTTATTTTTATTTTTAGCTTTCATTTCATTTTTTATGACTCCCTTCTCTTTGCTTACATTGTCCACCTGTTATTACATCCTGTTGACTTCATCCATTAGAGCGCTTAGCATCTTATTCATAATTTTAAATTATCGGACTGAGTCTTCTACTTTCAACATCCAGCCATGTACAGTTCAGGTGCTTACAGTTTTTCTGTCTCTCAAAAGGGTCCTTTTTTTTCCTGCTGGAACACACTGATTTTTTTTTCCTTAGTAGCCAAGCATGTAGTGAACAGGCCATCAGTGGTGCAGTGTGCTTTGGGGCAAAGGGAAGTATTCTATACTTCTATGATTAAAACTTTCTTAACTGGTTGTATTTCTCGACTGTGTACTATGAATTTCACAAGTATTTTTCTTTATTTTTCCTGGCTTCTTAGGTGGAAGAAGAGAACTAACTGAAGATGGGCTTTTCATTTACCCACGTGAAAGACTACCACTCTCTCGAACTGAATGATTTTCCTCCTCTTAGTTACTTGGCCTTGATAATAGCCTAACAAGTTCAATCAGGAAAACATTCCTATTGAGGGCAGGAGTTTTTGAAGAATACATTGTTCTGGTTCTGATATTTATATGTGGTTCATATTATATTCATATTATATGCTATCCCCCGCACTTGTTTAGTATAAAAGGTTTATACTAAAAAAAAAAAAAAAGATTTATTTTTCACTCTCCACTTTTGTAAGTCTCCAGCAATTAAACTATTTTACAGATACATGAATTTGACTTTTGTGTCTTTTGGGCATATTTAGCTGTTGCAGGAGCTCCCTCTGCTTCTTCAGCCAATAGCTTTTAAGATACCAGCCCGCTTGGGCGTGGTCTTTGTTGCTTTTTAAAGCAACAGTAGCCATGAGCTCTCTCTTGCTTTGGACTCAGCTTCCGGTTACTAGCCCCCCTTTCCTGGTCGTGCAGAGGGTCTAGGATGGTGATCTGCATTTTAAATAAATAACCCTTTTATTAATCACAGTTCCAAACTGGTGTGGGATTGTTTTGTGATTTATGCCTTCATTTAGATAACCTGTAACCTGTACTGCAAAACTGACTTGTTTCTGTATGTTTTGTTGAAATTCACAGTGAGCCAGATATCATGCAGTAATATACAATATAGTCATTCATTCATTCTGTGTACCAGAATTAATTGTTCTGAGAGTTAATTACTCTTGTTTTAAAAAAATAATAACCTAAAGCAAACATGGAGAGTTAACAGATGACTCTCTCTCTCTCTCTCTCTCTCTCTCTCTCTCTCTCTCTCTCTCTCTCTCTCTCTCTCTCACTCTTTCTCTTAGATAAGTTTTCTCTGCATAGAGCTAAATGTTCGGGAAATCACCTCTTGAGTGCCAAGATTAAAGGCGCATACCTCCTGACCCAGGTGAGCAGGATTTTTAACTAAAGTCTGTAGCCTGTAAAAAATTACACTGCTTTGTCAGAAGCAGTATGTCAGGTTTCCAGCGATAAGGTTGCAGAATACTTGAGGGACATAAGTAGCTACATAATCTGGAAGTGTACAAACTTGGGAATCAACACAGTACATATTCAGAAAGGTATTCCAATCAGCGTTTTATATCTAGTGTAGAGATGTGTTTAATGAGAGTATATGGAATAATGTCGAATGGGAACAAAAAGAAAAGAGATGAATGTCAAGTTCATTTCTCTCCATCCTAAGATTGTTCCTTCAAACTGGTAATTGTATTGTTTCATTGTCTGAAGTCCAAAATATTTTTAGTAAGCGATGAACAAATGTACTTTCTCCAGATTTGGTTTTCTGTTAGTAAAGTTACATTAGATATAGTGTGAAAAAAATTCAAGTTATGAAGAATGTTTACTAGCTGGGTGTGGTGGTATACACCAGTAGTTCCAGCCCTCAAGAGGTAGAGGCAGGCAGATCTTTGTGAGATCAATTCCAATCTAGCCTACATATTAACTTTCAGGCCTGGAAAGTCGACATAGTGATACTTGTCTCAAAAAGAATTACTGAACATTATCTTCCAACAGAGATTAAATGAATTGTAATAGTTACTTTTTATCAAGGACTTATTAGAAATAGAATTTATAATTGTTTATGTCATGTGACTGAAACCACCATGTCTTTCCTGATACAATTTGAAATCTAAGCCAGTTTCCCACGTCACTTTCAGTGAATTTTACTTCTGGGTAGGGAAGAATCATATTTTAAAATACCAATTATGAAAGCCAGGAGAATAGATCATGCTCTATTGAGAATTCGTCACTGAACACTCTGCTCTTTTGGGAAGAGGAAATGACGTTCCCTCACTATAGAAATTTTCTGTGACCCTCTTCCCAAGTGCAATCACAAATATAATTGCTACTTTTAGCTGTCAATCTGAGTACATTTTGAACTAAGGAACACCCAAGTGACTGGATACAGCTGCAAGGGACTTTTGTTGACTGAATCAGTTGAGGAGAAGACCCATCCTAAATTTGAATATTCTAAGTTGGGAAGACCCAGTTCAAATTTGGGCCACAACTTCTGGATGTAGCCTATATAAAGGACATGGAAGAAGGGAGTGCTTGCTCTTTGCTTCTTTGCCTTCAATTTCCCTAGAAGTTCATTTCTTCACTGGAATTAGAGCCCCATTTTTCGTTATTCTGGCATATGCTGAGACATCCACACTTTGTGAACTGAACAATTACTGGATTCTTGGACTTTCCATTGGGAGACAGCCATTGTTGAAAGAGTTGGATTACTTGTTAACGACTCTAACAAATCCTATGTATTATACCACATAAGGGATTTATTATACAGTAATAATAATCTAAGAAATCATGCACAATATGCATGTACGTGTGAATTATTACATGTAATATATTATTACCTATGACATATTCTTTTAGTTGTTTCTATAATGAGTCTTAATATAATAGGTGAACACATCAATGAAGATTTCACTGGAAGTAATACACCCAGAAACATACATCTTGCAATGTTTTAACTGTAAAGGAGTTTCTAAATAGACGTCTGTGAAGGATATTTGGAAGGGAGGTGGGAATTTGCATAATACTATTTAGTGATAAAAATTAAGTGGAAAATTAATTGTAATTAAAATTTCAAATAAATAAACATGTCACAGATATGTGTATATGTGCTTTCTAATTATACATGTTCTTTTAGTTTACCAGTGACTATTTACCAAGTCTCCTAAAGCCCTCTAGCTTTTTGCTAATGGCAAAAGACAAACTCAAATCTCAAGTACAAAATGCTGCTACTTTGCAAAGTCTGAATATGGAAGAAAGAGACTTGTGGACACCTGCCTCGGGCGTGACTTGCAATGAAACATTTACCCATTAGCCAGCAGACTACAGGGATTCCCCAGCTTCAGAAAAACATCTGAAACACTCTCTGTCAAACAAGGTCACATACTGATGGACAGAGGCCTTCTGCATTAAAACAACTTTGGAAAGAGCAAATCTTCAGTCAGAGCAATTTCATGATTTTGTCTTTGGTGTAGCCATAGTTCAGTGAGATATCAAATCTTTTATGATGGATAATTTATTGTTCTTAAAACACTTGTAATTTAAAGTGACATAAAAATTACATTTCTTTGCAGAATTCAGGTTATATTAAAGATAGCAGTGTCTGTATTATTATTATTTTTTTTTGGTGTGAGTAATCTAAAACTTCCCCAAGACATGAAAAGATTTTTACCATGTGAGCAAACTTTATTCACAGAATGCCTTTGATTACTATTAAGAACAGCATCAGATCAGTACATTAGACCTAATTCTTGTAGACTATTATAAAAGAAATTTTGTAACTTGTCTCCAGCTTAGGAAATGACTTAATAGATGATTCCAAGGTAGTCAAGATAAACAGTAACGAGCTGAATGTTAACGTTATTAAATAACCTCCAGGAAGGCTATCAATGTGGGCCAGTATATCCTGCGGCAGCTCATCAATCTACCGTAGAAAACATTCCGATTCTCTAAATCACCATAAACCCTCCCTGACATCTCTTGCCTGGCATGCGCTATGAGCATGAAATTAATTTGGCACCCGCCTATAGATAAAATTTAGGCATTTGCAAAACATTATCTAGTTACATTCTATGATTCTGTGAAATGAACAACTGGCTGCCTTTCAATTGCTCATGAAGTAAAACCTGATTTAGACATGAGGTCCGCAAAACCCGGACAAAAACTAGCTCATTCGCTGCTCACCTCCCTCCTCACTCTTACTGTGACATGGAGAACTGTCACACAGGCTTAGGATGAATGCTTGCTTGTGTATTTTTTGGCAAAATTTCAGGTAAGCTGTTAACAAAATCCAGCTTTTGAATAGCTTACTCATGAGAATTCAAAAGTCCACTACATATTAGCATATCTTCCTAATGCATTGAGAAGCAGGCTATGCAGTTACTCCAAGACCCTTCTTCATGAACAGCAAAAAAAGTGAGTAGAATTGTCAATCATGTATGTCCTTTTAATTTCTCACTTGTTTTTGATCATGTATTCATTTTTTTCTGGAAAAACATATATACATAATGTTGTCACACTTTTAAGACCCACTCTATCTATCCTTGCATAAAACAGAACATAGTACAGCAAATATACATCTATAAATATCAACTATGGGCCATGCAAATTATTTTTTATCGTCGACTGAGGCTCTTGCAAGCATTTCATCTTGTATGAAAATATTACTGGATTATAAAAGAGTACATTTTTATGCCATCAATATTTGAACTCTGTACTTTCTATAAGTATACCAACTATTTTTAAATTGAGTGCACATACACGTGTATACACATACACACACACATATTCTTACTAGAATGTGGGGTTTCACTTACCCATCATATTAAACTTTTTTTTTTTTGCTTTTGTGTTATCAACTTGCCAACCACATTTTTCTTTGTGCAATTTGTTGGTTTATGTTATTAAAGTTTACTTTAATAAATAAGAATAATCATTATTGAAAGGAAATAGGGTTGCCAATTTTTGGCTATATACGTAATTCAATACATCTACATTTTTATTTCCTCATATTAAATGGTCTAAGGATTCATTGCACCTCAAATAAAATTGGTATACATGAAACTAATGCAAAATGCTGGATGGTATAAATAAAAATACAGATTAAATATGTCTTCTGGTGTTAATGCCAGAAAAATGTGGTAAAACCATATTTGACATATTGTCTTTGAGTTTAAAATAAATTTAAATTTATTTTGAATGCCCACTAGCAAGTATTATCACCAAAATAAATATAACGGTGTAGGTTTGTTGGTTTGTTTTTCCTAACACAGACTATGGAGGTATTCTGTGAGTAACCCCCCCCCCCCAAAAAAAAACAAAGAGACGAGAAACAATTCAAACCTTTCAAAGTCCTGAAAAGGATAGGATCGGAGAGGGGCCCCACGCCTTTCGCATTCCGTGCTTGAATTCGAAAGTAGTACATGGTGTCGAGGTTGAGATCCATGATCTGATGGGTCAGCCGGTCACCGCTTATAGTCTCCATAATCCAGTCGTCTATTGGTATATTCTTGTCCAAGGTATAAAACAAGATGTAAGCTGCATAAATAAACAAATGTAATTTTTTTTTTGGTGTACATGTAGTAGTTCTCCTTTAAATGCACACATATTTCTCAAATATATTTTGTAATAATCATTATGTGTCTACAATCTACAAAGAACAACATTCTGCTTAGCAAGCAATGACTTTTTTAATATTGTAAGAATTAGTTAGTAATTGTTTCAATGCATAGAATCAGAACATAGAGTAGGCCATCAGAAATAAAATATATGCCATTCTTAAAAATTGGTGTTTTAGCTACCTATAAATCCTGATTATTTGTCTTTTCTAAAATACAAACACTATGATGAATTTAAAACTGAGATAACATGCCTGCATAATACTCATGGCGGTCCAATAATGAATGATAATGAATTAATATTGATTTTGGCTGGGCTTAAATAATAAAGATACATTGTAAGTATAAATACTGTACATATTTATAATGTTATAAAAATGAACAGTCATATTTTCTTTTTGCAGTCACTCTGGGAGATTTGCAGGACCTGTGTGGCACTCCTCTCACAAGTAACGAAGCCAGTTGGAAAAAGGGCTGGAGGAAGATTCTCAGATATTAGTGCCTATCACTGGAGGGCTTTAATTATATGCTTTGGGAGTATATCAGTAGAATGGTAACAATTCACGTACTTATAATAGTCTAATTTGAATATACACTGAAAATCAGTTAGCCTTATGAAATATGCATATCTGAACACCAGTCTTAGCCAACTTAGGTGCTCTTATTTAAAAGCATCAGTAACTTACATATTACATTGTCAGATGAAACTGTATGGAACTAATAGTGTGTGTTTTTGTTATATAAACATGGTGTTGTCCTTCCTTTCTGCCAAAATTCTGTAAATAATATTTGCCTTACATTCCACATTGTTTATAAGTCTAATAAATCTGCATAAGTTTCTTTTATATAATCTTTCTTGTTTTTATTGTTCATACACTGTACTGTGTTACGTAAGCATATGAAAATCACTTTCTTAAAGCGATATGCTGTCCTTTAAAAACATTTTCCTTTGAGTCGCTCTTGCTCCCATCTGGACTGGGAACTGTCACTGCTGTGTCTGAACCATGCTTACTTCAGAGTTCTCCGACTGAATTTCACCTGTCTTCAGAAGCATCCCTGCACCAGCACAAATCCGCACTGTAGGAAGCTCGTAGCCCCCATTCCTTGTTATTCACACCAATCTAACTTCCCTTACCTTCTGAATCCAAATCGATTCCATCAATTGAAGTCCTGTTAAGGTATTTCTGACACATAAAAGTGGTCCTTGGCCATGAGCTTTCTGGCCTGTAAGCTTTGTGTTTTTAATAAATTCGGATAACACCTGTGCTTTTGTATCACTCACTACACTGCCTTATAGGACTTTCTTGGATATTTGGAGCTCTATGATTTCTGGGTTCTAAACCGGGAATTTCTTCCCTGTTGATCTGTATATTTAAGCTAAATTTCAAAATACAGCATCCACAAATCATTTTGTCTTAAATAAAGACTGATTAATGAAACTTATACCTATTTTGTGTTAATTCTCACCTTTCCTCTTTTTTTTTTTTTTTTTTTTTTTTTTTTTTTTTTTTTTTTTTTTTTTTTTNTTTTTTTTGTATTCTTTCAAACCTGCCTTCATGGGAATTACCTCAAGGGTGGGTATACTTTAGAAAAATGACCTCGGGGCAGGATTTTTTTCATTTAATAATTTGGTTGACCATATTTGATGGCTGCAATTACTCCTATACATTCTCTGGTCTTCATGCATTTGTGTGATGTTGTCCTCCTGAGCTAGGATGAGTTCTAAATCTTGCCTCTCACCAACATAATTATGCATCAGTATACTCTAACATTGAGTCAAAGGAGATTGGAATTTCTGTTCTGTCAGCAGATTCCATGATTCTTTTCCTATGGTGGTTTTGATGAAGTGCATCTCCAGTGAAGTTGACCAGGAAGCAGGAAGTAAGGGTTAATTTTGGGCATCAATAAGGAACCAAAACCTCCTGTCAATCATGCATGTTGAGAAGCTAAATTATTACCAATCACCAACAATGAGACTTTAGCTAGGTTGATATATTGATTTATGCCTTCGAAAAGTAACAGTAAAGATATTCTAGATACACAGAAATTGTGACCACAACCATGTGTTGGTTTTGGCTACTAATACATGGTAATATTGCCAGAAGTATATACACTGAGGATAATCTCTATAAGCTGTGCTCAAAATTATTCCTGTGATCAAGCAATGTCATGAGCAAATTCTTGGTTGATCTGTGGAATTTTTATATTTTTGGACATCTGTTGCCATGTTAATATGAAAGTTTGGTCATGTTGAGAGTTTGAGGTAAGGGAGAAGGTATATTATGATAGAGAACAACACAGAATATGAACATGTTATATGAGTCTTTCTAAACATTCCGGTTCGGGAGGGTTTTAAACTGTCATTGTATAAAAGTGTTTTCATGGATATTTGTTCATTTACAGTTAATTTCTTATGCTAAAAATTATAAAATATCTTCATATTTATCATCCAAATCAGTTTCTCCAAGAAACCATGTCTATTTGAAGAATATCCTGATATTTACAATTTTTCTTTCTTTCTTTTATTTATTATATCATGTATTCTACCCCATCTGAAAAAAAAAATTAAAAGAAAAAAGGAAATATTCTTTATGGCAGCAGCCACACCCTCTGGCATGTTTTCATTCCTCACAAAATTCACGAGTAATCAGTACTGAAACTCACTAATTGTATGAATATCTGTAGTATAGTCTTGTTTTGGATTAATGACTTGGTTTATTTTGTTATTTTTTTTATTGAGTCTGGATTTCCATGTCTGATAGCCCTCGCTGCCCTGGAACTTGCTGTGGAGACCAGGCTGATTTTGAACTCACAGAGATCCACCTGTCTCTGCTTTCCAAATGCTGGCATTAAAGGCACGTGCTATCATTACCTAGTGATTAATGACTTCTAATGAAATTAACATTTTCCATGCTGTTGTAAGGGCACAATGCATATGAAACTTTGAAAATTACTTTCCCACCTACGTAGCTATGCTCTTTTATGATTTTTTTTTAAATTTTTACAGAAAAAAAACAATGCATTGACTTTCACTGTGATTCCTCTAAATAATTTTTTGAAGTATTCAAAACTGTAGCCGATTAGCTAAAGCTCATCTTGTGTCAGGTTCTGACAATTTAAAATTGTCCTTCCACCAGTCATGATATTATGGTGACACAGATGATTACATTTTTTTTAATTTGACAATTAAAACTTTCCAAACTTCAGTTGAAGATACTATTATCCAACGCTAAAAAGTGATCTTGGAGAAAGCTCCCAGATTCATCTGAATGGCCAGGTTTGGGTATATTCTCAAGCTACAGAATCCACCATCTAAAATTTTAAATTGCAGACTTTCACAACTCCACAGTCTCCTTTGGAAATGTGTGAATCTGTTACCAATGGCTGTCTTCTGCCCTTCGTTGTCATCTCATTCTTTCACTTGGCACATCTGACCGAAAAAGTAAAGTTTCGTGTGAAATCAGAGTTTGGAGGTTCCTCTGGGACTGTTGGTACAGCTAGGTGCTCTCGTCTTAAAGTCACATTTATCTAATATGCATACAATGCAACATTACACAGTTATCATTCTGCTCCTCCTCACATAAGCGGGCATTTGGAATTCAAGAAGCAATGTGCCAGAATTTGTTCCATCTTTTCTCTATCCTTTTTATATTTTTCTACGTTTATTCTCTCATCAAACATTAATGTTGAGAATAAAATGACCCATACTCTGGTAAATGGGACTTAAGCAGTAGTTAGGACAACTGTCCAAAATGGAATAAAAATAATGGTTGAATGATTTCACAATCCAAGAGACTTTAGGGCAGAGGAATTGGTTACAGTAGCACAAGACACATTAAATAGAGTTCCCCTTCCACAGAGCAGGTACACTGCTTTGTGTTGGGTAGGTCAAGGTATGTCATGTGATCTCTGACAAAGAGTTCAACCCAGCCAGGACCTTCAATCTTCAACAGGTTTTAGTAGGCAATCATGGTAATTGTGCGTGGATGAATTACTTCAGAAATCTTGTATTTCTTTGAAGAACAGTAAGAATATGTGATCAGTTACTATTTTATTCTTTTGAACAGGACAAGTATATTGCCACTGCGTCCTCTGTTGTGAACATTATATTAAAAATTATTCTAAATTCCCTGCATATGATGAGTTCATGATCAGATTAGCATGACATTGGTTTTATCTGATGTACCTTCTCAGCATTGAAATTCTTTATTTATTCATGTTTTCTCATCTCATCTTTTTGAAGTCCATGGATTTGCAACATCCTGGGTGAGGTAACCAAACCCAAAATACAAATATTGAATGTTTTCACCTGTATCTCGATTTTAGCTTTTAAGCTGTAAATATGAGAAACCACACAGGTTATGTGGCTATTAAGGAATGATGGGGAGGAGGGGAGTCTTCCAAGGAAAGGGTAGGATACCCTTTTACTTCTTTGATAGAACATAGGGAAATTGAGTTGGTGCCCAACTAGAAGATTCAGCCCAATGGAATAATGTTCGCAGTGCTTAAGGTACTTTCCACGGGAAAATAAAGATAATCATCAATATAACTCAGATATAATCCTCGTGTCAGCTTTTAAAGTTTTTGGTACTTCCTGTGTGTGTGTGTGTGTGTTTATGTGTGTGTGTGTTAACCGCAGGAAAAGGAGACTCATTCAGTGTCATCATATTGGGAAGATGGACCTCAATCCATACATACCTCCCAAACCTCTCTCCAGGTTCCTAGCATAAGGGTAAGAGATTTCTTAATTTGGCTAAAATTCTAATTTTTAGATTGGTAAAGCAAAATTGAGGCTTTGCTTTTCAGAGTTGAAAATACATTCTGTTGTTTCCTTTGCTAAGTTGACGGTTTATTTGAGGAAGAGTCAAGAATGTAGCAGTGGAAAGTGTGACTCATTTCGTAGCTTACCAAACATAGCTTTCATCATATCTTTTTTTTCATTAAAATTTCTATATTCTTCTTAAAATTTCATCTATTTTTGACATATGTTTATAAAAACCTGCTTATAATGAAATAAAGCATAAATAAATCAAAAGCTACAAACTTACTGAAACAGATCTAATGAAAGTAGACCAGACCACAGAGAAATGAAAATAAAAAAATATTAGAATGTATTCTTCCAAGTTTTCAAAGGGCTAGCACAGTGACAATTGAACACATATCCTCTTGGGGGAGGAATTTTATGCTTCGGATCTGTCCACTTTTTATCAGTTTCACATGAAATTTCTGTTTGCTATTACATTAAGAACCATTTCCTAAGCAAAACAAATCTTCAACTTCAATCACATTGATAAACTTCACATCATCTCTTTATTTTGAAAAAAAATCACAAAGTACCATATAACTTGAGTTTGTCATCTAAAACTGCATGTTCCTTGTTTATTTGTATCACAGGAAGACTCAGTCACTCTGCTAATTTATAGTATTGCCATGCACCTCTTGTACATACATGTAGAAGAGTAAAGAGAGACTTGTAAATTTCTAACCCAATGGTTCTCCTTCATTGGGCTCTAATGCGCACATTTAGAGTTGTGTAATGCTTTTCATAATAAGTTAATTCTATGAAGATATCTATTTAAAGCCTAAATTGATCATTTGAATGCAAACTCTCTAGTAGAACTCCATTATGTTTCTTTATATATATATACTAAATTAACATCATAGGCTTCTAATGGATGTTTTAATTAGGCATTTTTGTTATCAGCTATATTAGGAAAAATAAAAGCTGTCACTCTGAAAATTCATTTTCTGTCAGTCAATATTAAGTATTTTCTCAACCTTATTGTTTAAGAATGAAGCTAAAAGCTAAATGAGAAGTAAAAATCCCAAGACAAATCTCCTTCACACATTGCACAAAAATGCAAGGCCGCCAGAATTCCTTTAAATTTTGTAACTGTCAAATAATCAGCTTCCTTTCAGTCATTCATTGTTACACTCATTCCATAAGAAGATTGTCTTAATGGTCCATAGGATAAAACACAAAATGCCTATTATGAATGAAACACACATATTTCGCACAGAAACTGAAAGCCGATATTCATGTGTGTGTACTTGTATGAACCCTAAGAGAACTACAGCCTCAGCAGGGGAGAAGAAGCACCAATCAGAGAAGATGAGGAAATGAACCAAGATGCTGAATCAGAAACTCCACACAAAGAGAAAGAGCAGCTGTGTAGTAAGCAAAGTAAGGGGCAAAGGTCAAGGTGGGACAAGGCTGGGGAGGAAGCTGGATGCTTACCAGTGATCTTCCCATTGGCTTCCAAGGGAGGCTGCCAGCTCACAATGACAGCCCGAGGCTTCCCTTCTCGAGTTATGACTGTCAAATCCTTGGGAGCAGAAGTCGGGGCTGTGAGATGAGACAGAGACAAGGTCTTGTCATTGGTGGTGGAAAAAGAAGCTGGTGGGCATTTTCTCATGGCGCTAACAATCAGGATCTATCATCAGGTATGTCATGTCTATTTTGCCTTTTACAATTCACTGCAACTCTTCGAATGGCAGAAGGGAACGAGTAGAGTTGGTACTTTACCATGGGAGCTCAATGTCTTGCAAAGGAGTGAGGAAAGGCGGGGCTAAAGAATGCAATAGGTGCTTTGAAGTGAGCTCACACTCATGCATGTATGTAGAATTGTATGCTTAATGAACACATGAACTGCATAACTTCCATTAAGGAACCTACTGAAACTCTAGTTAATTACAACTGAAAAAACTAACCTACCAAGTTTCATGAAACAAAAGAGATACAAGCAAACAACAACAAACACAAAACTCCATAAAAACATGTTAAATATTATAGGCTAAAAATATACTAGGTATTTTCTAAAGGGAGAACAGAAATTGAGAAACAGAAGTAGAAAAGACAAGTAATATATGAGAGACTTTCATCAATCGGACATGAAATAAGATACCAAGAAATTCTGCACTCTTCAGATCTATTTCTTCTCTATGTTGTGCAAAATTAAATGCCAACATATTCTAGAGATGGAACCAATTCTGTGCAGCCCATTCACCATCTTTCTGAACTCTTCTCATCTGTTTATTACCCCTTTGAAGACAGTTTCCCTTCTAAGTAGCTAGCAACCTTCCAGGCTCATTATCAGCAGTCTCTTTGTCAGCCTTAGTTTGACACAGGGAGATTCGGAGCCATCCCTTCTCTCCATCTGTGTTCTGCTTTCTTGTTTCCAAATAGGACTCCAGTGAATAAGAAGAACAGAACTAGATTTCTATTTGAACCCATCTTCATTCTCTTCTCAGTGCTTCAGAATGCCACATAGGCTAAGTCATCCCATTAGCTACACTCCACTTCCAGAATACCTTCCTGTGTATTTGTAGACATGAACCAAATGGAAAGACACAAATCATCCCCATGTGTCATATTTTATTTCCTCAAAGGCCATTGGAACTCTAGTTAGTCCAAAGTTAGGCTAATTTTGCTATGTTGGCAATCACTTAATATATTTAAATTTTCAAAGGAAAATGGGAATGACAGTAACCCACAGGAGGAGGAAAAAAAAGGAAGATAAGAAGAAAGAAGGGGGTGGGATGAGATGGACAAGAAGAAAACATATGTCAAGAGGCATTGGAAGAACAACATTGATTTATAGCAAAATATCAAAGAAGGAATGGCATTTTACAAAAGGATTATTTTCCTAAAGAGTTCATTCAAGGTATTTCATAGTCCATGAATAGAAAGGGTGGATACAGTCAGAATTGATTCAGATATTATACAAATCATATACATAATTTAAATTATGAAAGAAATAAATAGATTGTGACTTGTCAGATTTAATATTTTCTTACCTATGTTAAAGTTCAAATAGATATTTATTTAGGAAATCAGCAAAGGGTGATGCAAAGGTTACTTTACCAGTCAGCTCAGGTATTGAAAAGAGGAAAAGAAAAATCCTTCAATTTTTTTTTTGCTATAATAAATACATAGGAATGTACTGAGAACTTGGTTCCTCAAACACTCTGTTAATTCATGTGTTTCAGGTGTGTGCATATCTTTATCCTTAAGCTGTGGGAATGATGAATAGAAACTTCAGTGTTGCACTTTTTGGCTCAAATATTTAAAATTTCCCCATGAGCTGCAAATGTACCCCTAATATCTGGGAAAGAAATGGACTTGATGGTTCCCGCTAGTACCTAATGATTGCCCCAAGACTGTGACTAGGTATTATTTTGTAAAACTTTCCCTTATTTTTTCAAACAGAATTTGTACTTTATACTGTTTCCTATCATTTCAACATGCCCCAAAATTGGTGACTTCATTTCTTCTGCTACTTCATGGTTCTTATGTTACTTCATGATTCTCAATATAGTTATCCTTTTAAATGGTTGTTATTCTCTCTAAAATAGAGACTGTATTTTTTTTTTATGCCTAGTACCTGTCTCAAGGCCTGGAAGTTACAAATCAACCCATTGTGTATACTGAGCAAGACCTATCATCTCTGTGGCTCTCACATGTCCCCTACCCACAGATTTCCATTTTTTTCATTTAGTGTATGAACAGAGGGGAAACCATTTAGACTTAGAAAATTGCAGACATGAAAATTACATTACGCTTTTGTTATTTAGATTGTCAATATTCCTTTGTCCCTCTTCCTTTCAGAGAAACATATGGAATTTTCTTTTAGACAGAAAAAAAAAGGTTGTCTTTAGGCCATACAAGCTTCAAGGCTACACGGATTTGTAATGTAGACTCTTTTAACCAGCTTTTTTTTTTTGCTCTTTTTTTTTGACAACTATCTCAGGAAATACCTATAATGTCCTCTCTTCTGAACAGTTGACTAGTAATTGATACAAGCAAGGAAGACATGCAGGTTCAAAACACAAGGGTGATAGTCCGGTAAGGGCAGTGCAGTGATAGTTTCTTATAGCTGTGACTAGCTCCTTTGTGGCAGCATTCCTGTTAATTGTATTTTAATATAGCTAATCAAAATAAAATAAAAGATTCCTCATCTGGACAGAATGAACTATTTTAATTTAAAAATTTGCCAACCATCCTTAGGTTTACTACAGAGGCCCTTCAGCTTGTAGCAAGAAAGCCCTGGTGCCTATATCTTATTTCAAAATTAAAGCAAATCTTCAGGTTATTTTTTCCAGCTCATTTCCTCCTCACAGTTACAGAATTCACGGACACTTGTGAATTGCTTCTTTCTTCTCATCATCACCCAGGGATCTCATCCACATGCTATTTACACCTTTGCTCAGATCATTATCTGATTTGACAATCACTCTGTCTGCTAACCACAGGTCTCAAACTTATTATCTTTTAGTCTGTGTTGGGAATGACCATTGGTGCCTCTGTAAGGCTAGGTGCTTGATGAGAACTGTGTAGAGTGCATTTTGCATGGCAGGTGCTGGTGTGCATTTTATGTCTGTGCATGGGAAAAATGCATGAATTTCTTTACTTTAAGATGAAAGGAATATTCTTTCAGCCAAATCCTATCAGGTTTTACTTATTCGATTTTTTTGTTTGTTTTGCTAGTTTATATTTGACTCTGTTCCTGACCTTTAGGGTAAAAAGACAGAAATGGGTATTTTATAGTCCTCATGGTATGCCATTCACTTGGCCGAACCTCATTTTCCTTATAAACTGCTGACGTTGGCATCCAACTCACAATTAACAAGGGAAACTTTTTTTTTTTGCTGAAAAATCTACCAAGTGCTTTTAAATTTAATAAGATAAACTTCAAAGTACCTGGTTTATAAGGGTCCCTGAGTGAATTGGGTTTTTTTTGTTTTTTTTTCCATTATTCTTTTTTTTATTAAATATTTCTGTCTCTTCCCCACCTGGGAAACTTAATAATGTATAATAAGTAAACTACAATAAAGAACGTTAAGATGAGACTATAAAGAAAGTTTTCCTGGAACTAACTCTTGTATACAGGTTGGCCTCAAACTCACAGAGATCTGCCTGCCTTTGCTTCCCAAGTGCTGGGATTAAAGGTGAATGCCTCCACCGCCTGGCTCAAGAAAGACTTTTATAGATAGAAGTACCTACTAAATGTAGAGCTCTAAAAATTAAGGCAAAAACCATAAATAAAATTAAAGTTGCAACATCAAGAGGCAAATTCTAGGGGAAAAATATAAATTTTACATACCTAAATATAATATAAATAACAAACCAATTAAAAATAGAAACTATTAGAGCTGGGAAGGTTACTAAGTGGCTAGGAGTACAAATAACTCTTGCAGAGGAACTGAGTTTGTTTCCTGCACCCAGGTCATGTGACTTCAAGAGTTCTGACACCCTCTGCTGGCCACTGTTGGCACCTGCAGTTATGTGTGCAGACAAAACACAGCCACAAATATAAAAATAATTAAAAGCAAAATAAAATATGTTTTAGAAGATATTCTTTAAGAAGTAGGTTTTGGTAAACTCTAGTGCCAAATTTGAAAATGTTTTAATTATAGATTTATTATTCCTAGAAAATTTGACTTCTGAACTTTATGTTGACTTGTATTGATGTAGATCCAAGATCTCTCAAAATTCATACAAGTTTTTCATTATGTGAACCTATTTTCAAAGTATAACCAAGGCCAACCGGAAATACTTCTTATTCCAGATGTCCTAATTAGAATTAAAAAAAACCAGGAGGCCAATTTTGTAATTTTTAAATTTTGCCTCAGATTATCCAGTATCTATTAGGACTGTTGTTCAAAGCACCCTTCTATCAGATAGAGTTCGATAATTAGATTCCCATTATTTTTAAACACATTGAAGAGAATTCCTATTCAGATCCTATGAGTTAATGTTCTAAAGAACTCATTCTAATAATCTGATTAATCATTCCACCAGATTGTTTAATCTATTTGATTCCCCTCATTCTCTTCCATGGGATTGCAATAATAACTATTAGCTGTAGAAGTGTTGTGAATTGTACGGGATATACTATTTAAGGCAGAACAAAGTATAATTTTGAAATCACACCAATCCTCTGTCTCCATTTCCACAGAATTTGTGAACACTGCTACTTAGGCCAAACACAAGCCTTTGAGGCCTGCGTCTCCTCACATACCAGCCTCGTAGGTGGTGGCGTGCGCTGTCATACTCCATGTGCTAGACCTTCTGTTCTTCGTCACCATGACCGAGAACTCATACATCGTGTTAGGCTTGAGACCCGTTGCTGTGTAGCTGAGAGAGGCTGTGTCTTCTGACTATACAAACCAGAAATAAGCAAAGAAATAAAAAGAATGAACTGTCAGTTCAGTAAATCAAGACATGTAAACCAACTAGCTAATGAGTCAGCCAAAAGTAGATACCAGTTCAAAATAACACAATAGCTAGGCCCCTTCTGTGCCAGTCCATATACGCTGACTGCTCATATATATGAGATTTATTGATAAAATCAGGCAGTGCTTTGTTCTAAGGGGAAGCCAACTTGGTTAGTTCCCTGTTCCCCTGAGCACAGGCAGAAGACAAATTTTATTTCAACCCCATTTCAAGACACTTTCTATTTGAACCCGAATTAAATTCATAGCTTTATCATTGAAATCTGGATTTCTGTTAGTCATCATAATTTTCATCTGCAAATAATTAATTTAATAGCATTATAGTGACTAAGATATTTAAAATCAAGACCTAGTTTTAAGTTTGAGTGCTTCCGAATACCTATTGATCAAGCAGAGCACGAGTGTGTCTGTGTGATGTTTTCTCCCTTTTTGAATATTTCACATATACAGAAACATGTATAGAAAGAACAGCAATTGATCAAAAAAGAATCGGCAACTGGATAAATAGTAAACAAGGAAATTGCATTGTAGAATATTGTATTTGGTTTTGAGTCCATTTGCTGCATTATAAACAAGCTTAATTATTTTAGTAGAAAATAAGTCAATTGTATCTTTCTTGCTTACTCAAAGAGCAAAAATGATAATAAAGAAAAAGCAGGCTAGTCTCACAGGTAAAAACTTATTTTCCACATGACCTGGCTCATTTAAAACTATGCAAATCTCTTAAAAACTTCAACTTCTGCTTATTGCTTATATCTTTGTCTTTTCCCAAGCTAAATGCTTCCTATTGCTTCTATATTTAAATATGTGTTGGGGATTTACATCTGGAAAAATTAAAGGCTTTTCCCATTGGTTGATGATATAAGTGTCTCATTATTACTGTATTATGGCAAAAATTATTAAATCGAACATTTATTATAGGTTAGGTTATAGTTATGAAAATCCTACATGTTTTTTACAACAAATAAAAATTGAAAGACACTAATAACATTTTATGATGTACCCATTCAACATATCAAATTAAAAATTTCAGAAGTATTTATCAGAATGCTTTTTCTAGACACTCATAGAGAGCTATTGTTACAATGAATAGCTAAACCTTAAAATACTTTGGAAAATCATATATGGTTGCAGTTGTAAACACAGGATAGCTGGGTAATACCTCTCTGGGCTCAAAGCTCCCATCTTCTTTTCTGTAAGTTTCATAAAGTACAAACTAAGTCATTTATTATTAATAACTTCAATATTTATGATATTCTTTTTCATAGACCTGTTATCCTCTTCATTTGTTCTTACTGTTCAACTGTCCAACCCTTTCCTAGAGACCTCTTCATCTCAGTGTACAGAAGTAGGTGTGTGTGTGTGTGTGTGTACTCTGCATGCGTAGAGGGCTGTTTGTAATTAATTAAATAATTCCCTTCATCAGAGAAGGCCCAGTTGAAATCTAGTTGCTTGGTCCTCAAATTCTTTGTGAGTCTGAGTAATTCCATGTCTGCTGTACTAGCCATTTCACTGAAATTATTTGCCTCAAGAAATCTTGGATCTTGTTATTCAAATGAGGCTAAAGAAAATAATCAAAATATTATTTCATATTCTGGCAAAAGTTCCCATAGCCATTCTTCAAAATGAATATTATCTACAAAGTTATGAACATAACAATTTTAAAGTGGGGAACAGTCTTTTCTGAAACTAAACTCAAAACTGAGCAATCTATATGTAGAGATACTTCTTAATACTCTCATATATTCTTTTTGTTTTCTTTCCTGATAATGCTATCTTTATTTATGGCTCTGCTGAGTCTGAAATCTAATACTGTAAGGAGATAGGTAGGGTACTTATAACATATATTTTATCAATATTATTTTATAGATTTGGTTGAGGACTTGCCTGGTCTATTAGGGCAGCAATATCAAAGAAAACTATTATTATTATTATTATTATTATTATTTATTGTTTCAGCTAAAAGTTGACTTATCACCAACCACAAAGTTCTGACCACTTAAAAGATAAAAGGCACTAAAGAAATTCCAGCATGACTGCAGACGAAGGCAGAATCATGAAACCAATGTGATTTTGCTCTGTTTCCAGTTTGGGGGTCAGAAATATTCCCCAGACAAGTGCATCTCCCAAAATTCCAATGTCTTGCAATCAGATTAAAGAACACAGTAGTTCAGCGGGAGGAAGGGAGCAATATTCTCTTTAGCAATTATTCCTGGGAAGTGTCAAGAAAGGTGACAGAAGTGGGTATGAGGAAACGAAGAGCTAGGGATCCCTTAGTTTTGGAGTAACATTTACATTCTTCTTCAGTTTATTTTTAGAGAAAACCTCATATTGTAGCCTAGACTTGCCTCAAACTCTTGCCAATCCTCGTGCTTTAGTACCCTGGATGATGATGATATTATAATGTTAAACTTTGTTTCCATTCCCAGTTATTGCCTTGTAAACTATTAACTTTCAGCTGTGTAACCTTATGTGAATCATTTATGGATTTTTTTCCAAGCATGCATCTATAAGGCGTTGCAAGTTATACATATTAAGTAAGTAGAATTAAAACTTTATTTCAGAATAAATGATCTCGAAGTGCTATGGATACAGAAGAGGAGTTTGTTGATTCTTCCAGTTTGTTGACACTGTCTACTACTTAAACACATCCATGCATTCTTGGGTTTGGAAGGCTATACATATTTCTTTGTTAGTAACTCTTTGTTCGAATTGCCGAACTTGGGCAGGAAAGATGGAAAAGTGAAATGACAGTCTCTTACGTGTCACTAGTGATCTCTGGGAATGAGTATGAAACAATTTGGAAACGAGTATGAACAGGAGGCTGCTGTAACTCAGGCTCATTTAAAGGAAGATGGTTTCAAAGCTAAATAAGGAATTCGGTGTTAATGCCTTGAAATTTATTTCTAGGGTGCTATAAAGTGTCATCACATCCCTGACCCCCCGTTGTACCCTGTATGAGTGGGTTGTGCAAATAATGGACAGTAATCTAGATTCTGAGTCAAGGAATCATATCATAATTTGTTCAGGAGCTAGTCTTGGAGCCCTTCTATTTCCAAAGGAAAATGACTTTCCTGTGGAAAGCAAAAGTCTGGTGCGAGCAGCATCTGGCGGGACTCAAACATCTTTTTGCAGCTCTTGATATTTTCCTACCTTGCTTTTGTTGATTTCCAAAGGCATAATTTTTCTTAACTAATTAGATATTCAGCTATTAAAATGCCTTGCTTTAGTTTGTGAAAGTCACTGTAGAAAAGCGCTTTATGGCACACCAGGAAACATGGAACACAATGCACCAAGCATATGAAAGATAACTTTAAATTTCGAGCAGTCAGTTTGATTTTCACCTTGTACTTGGCACTGGTAGAAAAGCTGGTCCTCCACCGGACAGTGTAAAGCCGCACGTCAGATGTTTTTTGGTTCTTCGGGACAGAGTTGTCTGCCCAGCTGACCCTCACAGCCTCATGGGTAAGAGCCACAGCCTGTACACCTACTGGTGGGAGCATGGGGGTGGAGACGTCTGGGCCCGAGGTGGGGAAATCATCAAGCAAAGGATAATAGTCAACGGGGTCAGTGGGATCTGGGTTCAAAACCCACCAAATGAAACCAACGAATAAATGTGTAAACAAAGAGTTAAAATAAATACCAGTGGTAACACATCACAATGAGTTAAATGCATGGCAAGATGAAAGGGAACATGAGAAGAACAAAAAAAATGCAATTAATTAAATCAGAACATATAATAAGAACAGTATTGCTATGTTAAAATAACTATTTCTTTATATTTATATCTAATTAGATTACATATCTTAGAAGTTCAACTTGTTTAAATGGTACACGTTGTTTCTTATAAAGTCTTGTATGCTACTTTATCAGGTACATGATTTGTCAATGATTTGAAGTAACAATAAAAATGACATTTCTGATTATTTTTCTGGAAATGGAAATGAATGCTATTGGATACCCTAATATTTTTCTTTATATATGACTTTATTGGGGTTTTGTACTTCTTTTACTATTATCTAAGTTATATCTCTATAAATATTGTCCAGTCAACACACAAACTATAATGAAAGAACCTTGATATATATCTTTCTATCAATGCACAAAACCAGAGTGAAGAGATATGCATGGTCACGTGGGCCAACATATATCTGTTGTACTATAATTGTGTGTGAGATGGCACGTGGTAAGCACGTTTTCTTAGACTGTAATATTAAACTCTAACAAAAGTGCTCATCTTCCTGTATTTACACACACGTATTCACACACACACACACACGTTAGTTCCGTTTTCAGTCCATTCAGGCATTCCTATGTTACATTCCTGATTCAGAAACTGCAAGTTCAGTGGAAAAAAATGCACATCAATGGATAGGGAAACAAATTAACTCCTCCAGAATAATGAGATTTCCACGGAGATATGAACGTGCTTTGACCAATAACATGACTGGAATCTGAAGAATGATGTGTGCTTTGACACAATTCTCCAAAACCCTTACACTTATCTTCTGCTCGGACGACCACAATCTCAGAAGCTTACTTTGCGGCAATCATAATCATTCCATTTTGAGGCACTCAAATTTATAGATAACAGGTTGAACAACCGACCTTTACGTGATGCAGTAAGGAATCTAACAAAAAATTGAAGCTGACAACACAGCCCTAAGACTGGACATTTGAAGTCATTTAAGGGAATGAGATCAGATAAAATGTAGAGGCGTCTCAGTAGCAGCTTATACAGTTTATGTTTTTAATAGCCAAGTTCAAAGCCGAGTGGTTGTTGGCTGTTCTGTTGACTCTCTTTTCCTGGAATTTCAAATTCTCATCTATTCATCATTGAGTTTTCCAACGAATTATTTAACATGTTACTGGGTTACTGGTTTGTAGTTTTGGAGAAAAGATTTAAAAAAAAAAAGACAGAAACAAAACAAAAGGAGAGAGAGAGAGAGAGAGAGAGAGAGAGAGAGAGAGAGAGAGAGAGAGAGAGAGAGAGAGAGAGAATATGATAGATTTGGGATTAAAATTTAATGTCAGAACCCAGGTTTTCTGTATTCCTTTTGATGTCTCTTCTTATTTAGGGCCCCTTTAAAGCCAAAGGAATTCCTGAAATGACAAAGAGAGCGGGAGACGCTGCATTTCTACAAGGGTTTGAATCTCACAGCAGGTCGGTGTAGCAGGAAAAGGGGCTTGTGCTGAAGTAAAGCAAGCACAGCCTTTCACGTTTCTATCCTTGCCTGACTCTGGGAGAAGAAATTGATGCACAGAGGAAGTGTAGTTCCACGTATGACCTGCTTTTCACTTATCCACATCATGGGCTACACCTGTGTCATATTTTGTTCCACTTAGTTCATGTAAACATGGTCTCTTATGTGCACCTTTGTAATGCTTTGAAGTCAAGTGATCCTGTACTAGGAAATGATAATAATCAATCCAACTAGTCTTGATTTTAGAAAATAAAAGTGGTCATGTTTGTTATTTATTGATTATTTGAGGGACAATTACAGAATAATCCTACTGTATTTAATGCAGTATTTTCTGTTGTGATTTTACCTATTGACCTAATGTGATCCAGAAAATTCTGCCAATGGCCAAGTTTTATTTTCTATCTTAGGGAACACAATTTTTTTTAGTCATTCTTTATGATAATTCCTCTAAAATGTTGGTGCATAATGTAATAACAATATGCTCTGTGGATTTTATCAATGTAAACTGCATAATTAGTTATTTTAACATTTACTCATTTTTTTATGACAGCCAGTTTCAATCATTCAGTGGCCATAAGAGCTTTGTCCCCACTATAAGGGACAGAGCAGATAAACAACATCTCCAGCATAGCAGAGCATTCCAGGAGACAGCGAGCAACAGTGTGAAAACATGCTACACATATTGCAAGCGCTCTTTGGTTCCCTGACCAAGAATTTCTTGAATAATTGGATGCAAGCATTCTTTTGCTACTAAATAGTTCTACTTCAATGTTTCTTCCTCTCCTAGGATGCCTTATACGCTCTTGAATTTCAGAGGCACATGAAGATGTACATGTTTATGTGAGCATACATGTGGATGAAAATATATATACTATNTGACCCTTATAGAATGTGCCTACTCCAGGATTCAAGAGGACAGATAGAGGGTGAACTCAGCTTACCACAAATGTGTGTGTGTGTGTGTGTGTGTGTGTGTGTAAAATTTTGCTGAAGAAGAAACAGACAGTCCCTAACATAGTTTGCCAATCTGTACCTTTAGTTACTCATTTGATACTGGCATTAAAATCGATAGTTTGCAACTGGATTGCACGTCGTTTAGACCTCACTAAAATGGTTCAGAATAAATTAATTCAAAGAGTGTACTTCATTAACTCCTGATTATTCTTTGCCCCTTTCCTTCTCCAGATGGAAAACAACTTGTTTTCACAATAAGAGTTAAAGAGAATTTTCTCGTATGGGGCCAAGCTGAAAGTTTCAGTCACTTGAACTCTTATTCCCAGTCTGAGAAAAGACTCCAGAACTCACCGAAGGCTACTAGCACATGATTTAGTTGCTCCAGGCTTGATGGTTATGCTAGCCAAATGTTTTCATTGCCTTCAGGATATTTTGTGTTTACTTTTTGCTGGATTCTTTCCAGGACTTCTCATGGGAATATTTAGCAACAAGTCAAAGATAAAGAATATTTTTTACATGACAATATGACACATTTATTGATGAGAGATTCTCTCAGAGCCTTAGCCTTTGATTCCATTTGTTTGCCCTTTGTTCTCCATGCTGTGTAGAAGCATAAAAATAATTCTCCTTCCAGGAGAAGAGTATATTCTTTATTGTGAAGGGGCTGCTTTACACATTCCTCTGCAACCCATCACTGACTTTTCTTCAATAATAAATTTCCTGACATAATTTACAACTTGAGCATCATTTCGTTTCTCAGATCCATTAGAATCAGAGTTATAAGATGAAAATAAAACTTGTGTTATGGATCACTGACTTTTGAGAAAACACCGTGGCAATGCCATATGCTAAGAATTAAAAACTGACAGCAAATGCCACAGGGAAAGTTGTTAATAGCACAGACTCTTCCTTCTGCGCAGCCTACCTTCAGTTTATCTGAACTCTGCCCTCTTCACTCACTGCTCTCATGTTCCACTGGAAAACTGACTTTCGTGTTTATGCCCAGTAGGTCGTATTCGTGAGATTTAAATTTTGTATTGATAAAAGAAAAGCAGTGAAACACTGGCCTCGGTGGAATCATATGTCACCTGATCACAGTTCAATGTCAGTTTGGACAATGAGAAACTTCATGATGAACAGTAAAGAGATGACATACACAAAAGGTCAACCAGGGAAATCACAGGTGCATAGTATTCTATTTCCCAATAAACCTCACTTTTGGGACAGTCTGAGAGAAAAATCCCAAGTGCTCATCTATTATTCTGTATCTTAGTTCCAAATCTAGAACTCAATGCACATCATTTTTCTAACAAAGAGGGTGACACTTTTCTTAGGAAACAGTTTCCAGCCTCATGTTTATTCTTTTTGAGTATTTATGAACACCTTTGGTGGCATAGCAAAAGATCTTGTCTCAAATGATAGCTTCCAAATTTGCATCCTTTTGGGGGGTGGAGGAGGTCAGACTTTGAAACCAATGGTCAACGATTCAAGGATTCTGAAATAACAACTTCACTTTTTTACAACACCTGGTTAACAATAAGTGATAACATCTTTGGAGACTGTCCGAAAGTTCAGTATAGTCTGTGAATGGCAACTGAGGACTTTCTAAATAAACTATACAAACTTCAAGTAAATCTAGTTAGTAGTAATATTTATTCTCTAGCCAGTCATGCATCCTCATCTGAAATCCACACTCCAGAAATTTTTCTCTCTGATGCTTGGTATTAAATATGAATATTGCCCTCTTAAGCCTTCTGTTCTAATTAAGGTGAATGCTTATGGCCAGTCAAATGAAGTTGGAAGGATGTGGTTTTCTGGGGGTGCGGGAGATAGGCACAAAATATTAATTGAAGACATAAAGCTTATTTTTGTCTAAGTTTTAGACAGGTTGTTGGGAACAATATTTTTAGGAGCAATATGGGGTTGTGATTTTTTTCTGGGTATCCACATACTTTGTTTTTGAGCAAACATAGCATTATTAACAACCTCCATCAGTGACTTATATCTCCCTTTAAAACTGCTTCATGCTCTTCTGCTCTTTGGTCCTTGTTTGCTGACTTTTATTTAAACTCACACAGCCATTCTTTAGACAACGAGACTGGAAACAGTCTTTCCTTTTGTGTCTCCTGACAGATGACCTATGCCCCAGTTTAGGTTTCGTGTTTGTGATTTGGACTGATCCAATCAACTCCAATGTGCCAACCTTGTCCCCTGTCTACAGGTTCCTGTTGAGAGAAACAAATGCCCACTGAATATTCAGAGCCTCGATCACAAACTTCCTGCTCAAATGGCAGTGTCTGAGACAAACCGGTTAGCAGAATGAAGAGCCATAACAGGGCACCAAACTAGAAAACTTCTTAGATGATTGTGAAGGCAAGATCGAAATTCTCTAAGTCTACACACTAAAGTATCGAATAAATCCTTGCTATTCATTTGGAGAATGAAATAATCAAGAATAATGTGTACATATAATGTGCATATATTCCTGATAATTTCATGCATTCATTTTTAAATAGTTTTCTTTTTAGAATTTTGCCCTTTCTCACCATAATCCAAGCACTGGTCACCTTGTCGCAAGAGGATTGACGATGGATGCATACCTGTTATGGACCGTGTTGTGGCACTTTCATAAAGAGGGACACCTTCTCCTGCATTGTTGAAAGCTTTTAAGGAGATTACATAATGAGAACTTGACTCTGAAAACAGAAACAAATTGGACATGTGAATTAGTGTATTGAAATGCCTATGGCGAACATTCCCTGAAAACAAATTTGATATAATGTTTTAAATGAATTGATGTTTGAAAACGAGTGGGTTGGATTCTGGGAACTACCCGCTCTAATGGACATAGAGACTTTCGATCTTCCTGAATCCTCACATGAGCAGGGAATGCGTAAGTAGGTGGGGAAACAAGAACATTTAGACACACTGTACAGGATAGACGATGATATTTGCCCTTATCCCGGAAACACAAGTTTCTGTGAATTATCAGCTGCCAGCCCAGTGACCCAAGTGTCAGCCAAGTCTGTGTCATTCAAAACCAGAAGTGAGCATCAGACTGGAAATGAGAACAATCCTAAGAACCTCGGACATATTAGCACAGGGAACAACTATAAATACTTGGAACTGACCAGTGAAAATTCCGCTCCAGGACAGGACCATTTATAGTTAAATTAACTTGACACGACCTTAAGAAACCCGAGAAGAGGGAATTTCAGTTGAAGAATTGCCCATGGGAGATTGTCGTGTGCTGATGTCTGTGAGACACTCCCTTTATGGATACTGTCATGGGAGTATCCAGGCTATTGTGGGAAACAGTACAACTCAGGCAAGTGAGACTGAGTTGTATAAGAAAGGTTGATGAGCAAGAACCAGAGAACCAGCTAACAACCAAGACATCCCCAAGGTGTATGCTTCAAATTTCTGCTTCAGTTGACTTTCTTCAGTGATGAACTGTGAACTGGAATTGTATGTAGAAATAAACACTCCCTATAGGTGCTTTTTTCACAGTGTTCATCTTATAATCATAATGAAAACAACAGCACCCGAGCTAAGAATGACGTGGAAGAAGGTATCAAGTATGAAAGTTAGTGAGAGAAAAGCTAAAGCACACCAAGCAGAGTCCTTAAAGAAGAAAATTTCAAACGGAAACAATAAATACAGAAGGATACATTTCATTTGTTGACTTAATCTTTAAAAAATGCAAATGAAAGCAATATATGATTTATCAGAGCAGAAATAGAGCATCATCAATTTTTATTAAAGCTATAGCTTATGAGACAGAATTATAGTAATTTATTTTTTGTTCTAGATAAGAAAATACAATTAAGGATTTTCTAGACAGTCAAAAATTGATAATAATATAAAGGAGGTAAACAATCAAACTATTATTCGTTTCCAAACTGCTATTGCCTTTCATTTTATTGACCACCAGAACTAATGGAAAATGAGTTTTGGACATCCAAAATGACCAGAGGAAACTATGACCTGAAAGCCAACTTCTGAATAGTAAAGTAAATGTACTAAAACTAAGTGTCAGGAGAAATGTAATTATGTATTGGCCTATGCTATGATACTATAATGATCAGAGAATTAATAGATCACAATGGTCGTCTATGTACAGCATTCAAATGAGTCATTTCTATGAAGGTGGAACTTCTGTTACTATCATCCTAAGGCAAACATAATATAGATAAAGCAATGGAAGAGTATGAGGGCTACAATTTTACATATACTGTGCCATTTTAAGCAAGAGTCTTGGTAGAGATAGAATACGCACAGAATTAACATAGAGTAGTTAAAGTTCCATGTTCCCAAACTTGAGTTAGAAAAAAAAATATTCAATTTTTTAAAGAAGTATTTTAACCCCTTGTCATGTTCTATTCACCTAAGAAGTCAAGAAGCATGGATTTGATAGCACAAGCAATCCCCAGCGTGTAGGCTGCAGCTGTGTGTGGACCTGCTCATCCCAAGTTTGGAGATGGAAACATGGCAACTGAGCTTAAATCATCCTGTCATACTAGAAAGGAGAAAAAAAGCCAGTGATGATGACAATCTCCTGTCAACAAAATCAAGAATTATTGTATAGTGGGTTCCACTGATCACTAAAGAGCATCATCATCTAAGGAACTCAGTGTATCAACTCCCTGAGATACATAGAAACATGCTAATTTATAGAGCTAGTGTAGGCTAAAAACCATTGGTCCGTTCTGAGGTTGTCAACTAATCGCATAACTATCTGAGAAACTGGGAAGGAAATTAGTATTTATGTTTTTCCTATATAAGCTTCATTCCAGCATGAGCGGAGAGCTTGAGGATCAGTTTAAATATTTCTAAAAGAAAAACTTACGGAGAGAAACGGAGTATTGCCACTCTACCATTTGAATGAATGAATTAATCTACGCGTTACATATTCACAATTACTCAGAAAATCAAGGAACAACCATGCACCAGGTGTCTCAAATGGAAGGCATCCCTGCCCTCTAAAGTCTAGTGACAGCAAGTAGCCACTAACTGCTGGAACACAGCAAACAGAGCAGAGAAACAAGCTGAACCCAGTGAAAGCACACATGTAAGTACTTACGTGTTCTGTGTGTTTTTCTGTGCCAAGGTATTTACATAACAATGATGAGGCTTTCAAATGAGTGAGTTTACATTTAATGATGATTTTTGAAAATCTATTAGGTCTCTTTTCCTTTATGGAGTTCGAATGTAATTTAAATGCGTATGTTAAAGACAATAATATTCAAAATAACCATGTCCCCAAAGTACAATATAACAAAAATGATATAAGATCATATCTCACGCAGGTCTTTGGCTTCCATGTGATGAATTGCTGCTACTGGAAAAGAGAGACGTGTGTGTGCACACTCACATGCATAGACATGCATATGTTTATTGTCAAAGTAGGTTATTTTTAAGGAAGTAATCAATAATCAAATGTCAAGTGTTTTCTGAGATTCAAGACTGGTTGTAAAATAAGAACCTCTCTTATTAGCTTAGTAAGTTAATTCTGATCAGGGGAGAAAGGAAACACTACATAAAATGAAGCAATAAAATATACAGTATGCTCTCGGAATGCCATTTGAGATTAGAGGACTGAAATGGTCATGAAGGATCAGGCCAGCTGAGAAGAGTTTCCAACAGATATTTACTCTCACGTGGGGCTCGTGGAAAGAGGTGGGGTCTAGGAAGGGAGATCATAGAAAGTAAAAATATTTGAAGGAAATCTGGAAATGATGAAAATACACTTAGGAAAGGTAGAAAAATATTCATCTGTGACAATGACCTATTCTAGTTATATCAGAGTTATTAGATCTAATTTCTTATTTCAGACAGATGATTCATCTATACAATCAGACACAAACACTTATACTTGATATTAACCTAATGATATAGGAAATGGCTTTTTGTAGTTAAAATGTAATTTAGCTCAATCTCATACACCTATACATTTGCGTTTATCAAGGGCGTGGAAATGAGACCAGGATTTTTGTATTCCCATACACAGGATCTAGACTATCTGTTTGCCTTTAGTGGCTTTGAGATTTGTTTCCTTGTAATCAGAGTGAACAAAGGAGAATAAGGCAGACTCAGTTCCTGCATGAAAATGATAAGGTGGAAAGATTCCTAGGAGCTAAAGATGAACTATAATTCAGTTTGAGGACACTATTAATGCGGAGGAGGTGGTCTAAGTGTAGTCAGATTCTCTAGAAACCCAGACATTTGCCTGAAAACAACGTCCTTTAAATATGTGTAGCGAACTTAGATAAACTAATCAATTCGTGCTGGCAAATAGATCCTTATGAATCTAGACCTACTATGATCAGGAGGGTGAGTGTCACTTTAAGTCCTTTATGCGAAGGTTCTGTCTGCAAGCATCCTCCTCCCAGGTACTGGAAGGGGCTGTGAATCTCTAAAAGTCCAGCAGCTAGGGGCAGTCCCTATAGACATGCCAGGGAGAAGGAGTCTCTTGTTTTCTCTCTGCTCTTGACTGGAAGTGCAATCACTTGCATTTATAAACATCATCAACGTTACCACCTGCACTCCGAGATGCAGCTTTGGGGCTCTCTAGCAAGCACGTGATGCTTTTGTCACATTCTGGACCCCCAGAGGAAACAATAGGCTTTCCCTCTCCCACATTAGGCGTGATCCTCTAATGACCTTGTCTGCACAAGGAAGATAAACTTGTTACTCATTTAATGGCAAACTTAGGGAACGCGTGGAACGTTTTAATACCCTTTTATATGTGGACGGAGGGATATTCTTTGAATTTGTATTGAGCTCAAGAATCTTTCAAAGTTTCCTGAGACCCCAGATTGTTCTCCGGAACAATTTACAATAAGTTGGATTTTTTATCAGTTCACCGCTAGAGGGCAATGTGGAACTATTTTCCTGCACATGCTCAGAGCTTTCACGTTTAAAATCAGTAAATTAGACAACAGCGGCCTAGAATCACGGCCAGAATGGAAGCATCAAATGAGTGAAACGCATTTACTATTATCATAATGAATTCCAAATGAATTAATCATTAATTATGGTCAGACTCCATTGTTCAGGAATACGCTTAATGACAATTATGACAATAAATTTATTTTTGGGTATTTGCTGAAATGTTGCAGAGACACAGGCTTGACAAATGTACCAGTTATCTCTGCAAATAAAGTGTGGCAGTTTTCTCATTTGAATTTAATGCGATTTAATCATACAGGAGGGATTTGGGTCTTGGTAGGTTTCCCTGGGAATTATTTTTAGTTATAGATGTTCTGTGGGAGTCCACATATTTCACGGCATTGAACAGAATTTTTTTGTTTTTAATCTTTGACTGGTCAACGATTCTTTTACAACAGTTCGATTTGGGATTAAGGAAGCTAAAGAAATTCTTAAGAACCCTGAGCATGTGCAAGTGGATGACTGGGCCCATTATTGCTTGAGTGTCATGAAAAGTGGAGGGGGAGGAAGGCACATTTATTGATTATAGAGTTGTAAAGGCAAGGGAATGGTTATTGGAAGAAGACTTGGTGTCCTTCCCAGGAGACATGGGAGGTAAGAGACTCATTATTCTAAGAGCCCCTGTTAATCCTTCTCTGGAGGTTAGAGATGAATTTGCTCTCTGGGAGTCAGAGAATGAATCCGGAAACATTAGAGGCAGACCCGATGGTCTGTGCTTAGTAACAAATGCCGAGCATGAAGAACT